GAGTACCACAGTGGCTTCTTCACATATTTCCTCTTACTAACAATCAATTTTCTGTTGCCTTCAGTAGTGCAACTTTTAATTGTGATAACTATTACCAGCAGCCCTAGCATTGGTTAGAGCCATATAATGTACCCTAATCTGGTTCTTGCTTTCTTAAAATTGTATATTTGGAATATTGTGCTATTTTTTTTTTATCATACTGAACATATGCACCTGTAGTGGCTCCACAGATGCAGTGATTTTTTTCAAAGTTATTTTTGCACTTTATGTAATACCTTATAGATAGGTTGTATAGGCTTTTTTTTTCAGATTTGGCTATACATTGATAAATAGATATATATCTACAAATATAAAGTGGAATTTAGAGGAGGTGCCCTGTATTTGGACATAATTTAAAAAGTGCTTTTTTGTTCTTTTTTTTAAGCTTTTTCCATATATTGTTTTTTGTTTTGTGTTTTTATCTTTTTTGTGTGAATAAGTTATACAACTGTGGCATGCATGCTCTATATTGTACGCATTTATACAGTATGCACTGAAATATGATATTCTGAGCTAAATAGGAATCTCTAAACAGCTGGAGTGAATCACTACAAAGGAATGTGCATATTTCTTTTCACCCCTTATTAATTGTGGATATCATATGATGTTTTGTAGCAGCACAGCCTCATTCTTTTGTAATATGATATAAATGTATCGAATAATAACTTCTGGATAATTTGATGGTTTAATAGTATTTAGAAGTTTTGTAAGTGCTCTATGTTTGCACATTGAGTTTCACAATAGGTGTAATGGATAGATCACCCTGTGCTTAGATATTTAAAAAACATTAATTGACCATTTTGTAATATTTTTTATTGTATGAACGAAAAAGAAATGTTACATTTTTTAAAAAGAGAAATAACATTATCAACATCTGATGATTGGCAAGGAATGATTAAATTATATTCTTGCTGTGTCATCTGTGTTATTTGTCTCTGAATACATTTATACATGTGCATAGAAAAAAGTGTTTTAGAAATCATGTGAGATCTTAGTATAGGTTTATAGACATGGATCATATAGAAGGGCCCATTAGAATCCTATCTGCCGTTTGAGGCTTAAAGGACCACTATAGGCACCCAAACCACTTCAGCTCAATGAAGTGGTCTGGGTGCCAGGTCCCTCTAGGGTTAACCCTGTCTGCTGTAAACATAGCAGTTTAAGAGAAACTGCTATGTTTACATATGGGTTAATCCAGCCTCTAGTGGCTGCCTCATTGACAGCTGCTAGAGGCACTTCCGCACTTCTCACTGTGATTTTCACAGTGAGAAAATGCCAGTATCCATAGGAAAGCATTAAGAATGCTTTCCTATGGACTGACTGAATGCGCGCGCGGCTCTTGCCGCGCATGCGCATTCAGCTGATGACGTCCAAAGGAGGAGGAGAGTCCCCAACACCGAGGGAGCCCAGGGCTGGAGAAAGGTAAGCATTTAACCCCTTATTCCCCCTTCAGCCCGGCGGGAGGGGGGCCATGAGGGTGTTGGCACCCTCAGGGCACTATAGTACCAGGAAAACTAGTTTGTTTTCCTGGCACTATAGTGGCCCTTTAACTTTATGAATCTAGAAAAAGAGTAATTAATAAACTTTGAATTATCAGGGCCAACAGATTAGTTTTTTGGAAATAGTGATTGATAAGTGTGCAGACAATTTACTCTGAAAAAACTTCATGAGATGTAGTAGATTTCATACTTATTATATTATGTCACCATCTCAAAAGAATATGTAGAATGGTCTCATATGAATAAAAAGTAAAACAGGCTAGTGAAAAATTAAGAAATATAGCTATATTATATCTGAATTCTCTCTCTCTCTTTTTTATTTTAATAATTTTTTATTTCTGCAAGTTTTCAGAAAATAATAATAGGGGATAGACATTGCCCAGTAGCAGAACAATAATAATAATAATAATAATAATAATAATAACAAAAACTTAGATATGTGATAACACCACCATTATCCCCATTGCAGAATTACATTTTTGTTAACAAAAACAGTAGTGAAAGAACCGGATTGTGATGAGATTTTGAGAATACAACACAAATGTAAACCATGTGGAATAGCTTTTTTTCTTTTAATAATCTAGCATTTGGGTTTTGTGTATTGAAGATTCATATAGAAGCATTCTGTGAAGCTTAAAAAGATTATTTCAACCTTTTGCCACAGTTTAATTTTTTAAGGTTATAATGCCCTACTGGCCTATTGTTCAAAGGGATACCAAATTATTGCTCTGCTTATCAGATTGCTCCCTAATTTGGTATCCTTAAATTAGCATTCCCACATAAGGGTACCAATTTAGGGAGCTATGTACTAAACACATCTGCCTGAAAGATCAAAATTAACTGTTATTCCCACTTTTGCAACTTGAGGCCACCGTGAATTTTTGACAGAATTATCAAAATGGTTGCCTACATGCGCAATAATTTAAACCAGTAATTAAGAAATCAAAATTGACAGATCATTCAAATAACTCATGAGTAAAGTGTGAACAAACATGCAAGCAAAATTTATGAGTAATTTTCAAGGAGATTGCTATTGGGTGTATTAGGATATGTAAAATGTATGCAGAGTATGTGAAACAACCTTATGCAATTAAAAAAAAAAAAACATGCAAAATGTAAATTGCTCACTTTTTAATATGGGATGCATATAGAGCTGTTTGTGATTTATTATAGGTTTGATCTATGTTGCATATATGGTAACGGATTACACTTTCTGTCAGTGGTATACATACAGGTAGGGGCTCATTTACATTTGAAGCATACTGCTGTTGTCTAACCATGGGCCAAAAATGAGAAGTTACACTATGACAAACCATCAAGAAGCAAGGGATTGATAAAAAAAGAAGCAATGAAAAGCATTGAAATAGCAGGGCTCTAAAAAATTTCATTCACACTCATTGAAACAATCACAAAACTGAATAAGGGACTTCGTGATCATTATTCCTAATAATGTCTGCTCATTTTCTTAAACATATTGATTGATTGGCATTATTGTAAATAGGGCTTAGACTACCTGTAATTCTTCTTTGTTATATTCTTCAGGTATGATTTTGTCTGGAAATTCTGAGACCTGAAAAAATTAGTTAGTAGAAACATGCAAGGCACAGAAGTATGACATGCCGGTGTCAGGTCATTAAGGTTGCAGAGATTAATTGACAGAGTTGTCTTAAATAGGCTATTTATTCATTGGACCTGTGAACTTAAACAGAAGGAACAGAATTATTTAAATAGACAATAACATAAAAATACATATTCCTGACACTATATACACATAACCTTGCTGTGCTATGCATTAGCTAGTTGTACAACCTTGAGATATTGTGGGATGCTTTTCATTGGCAAGGACTGGAAAACTGGTCAATATTGAAGATAAGATGCCAAATCCTAGGCACTACTACAAGAAACCGTGATTCAAAGCAGAGGATGATATTCATGTTCCAGCAGGATAATCACACAAACCATATCAATCCTGAAAGTCATTATGCTAAGTAATTGAAGGTTATGCTAGCTTTAGTTTACTAATAATCTTAATTTTAATAATGATAGGAGGCAAATGTTTTGCATAAACCAATTAGAGACAGGCAGAGAGTATAACATACACCTCCCACTGACATCACAAGTCACAAGATAAAACTAAAAAAACACAAAGAATATAAAAAACAGTCCAAAGAACTCCAAGAAATGATCAAGAATGACTGAAATCCATTTGAAACTGCGAACCACGAATTGACTTTGTATGCTTGAGTACATTGACAGAAAGATGTGCAATAATTCAATACTATCAAAATTAGTACTGCATTCATTAACATTTATTCAAATTAATAACAGTTAGACTAAGGCATAACCATCGGATAAATATATACCATGTACATACGAGAAAACAACCCCAAAGTCATATGTTGGATGAATCACCATCATTATACTGTGACCATAGATGAACAATCCACGCAGTATATATCAGCAATAACTTATCTGAATAAGCATAACCCATCTCAAGGGAATGGAATATTAATTCGGGGGAAAATACTTGCCTCCTGGCATTATTAAAATTACGATTATTAGTACACTAAAGCTAGCATAATCTTAAATGTTATTACATGCCAGGTTGCTTCACATTTTGCAGTTTTAATGCGAAGGCAACAGAAAGAAAGCAGCATTAGAGGACAGACGAAAGTAAAACATCCGAAAGGTGGTTTTCCGTAATCAATCTGCAGCGAGCAATATATCTGATAAGGCGGCCCCCGCCATAAAGGTGGAAGAGGACAACACACCCCAAACCAAATGCGCATCAATCAAATGAGTCAATCCTGGCCAAAGATAAAAGCCATCGCACCCATCGGGACAAGGAGGTAGACCGTAGCATAGCCGTAGGCGTGTAGTGTATGGACCACACAAAGTTGGGGTTTCAATTAAAAAAAATGGATAAAAAACAACATTGAGTCTGACTTGGTACGTCGAGATACCTAAAATGTGACACCTTCCGCAGAAAACGAGAAGGTGTCCACGTTGAAGGCCCGAACATCCGAAATCGGATGGAACAATACCAAACACATAAGGAGGGCAAACTTTACAGTCAGTAGTCATAAGGACAATTTGCCGTTAGAAGGCTACGTCTTTATAAAATGAAGAACCTCGGTTACATCCCAAAGGGAGGAATATTTTGGTGCATCAGGTAACCAAATGCCCCAAAGCAGTAGACAAACCAAGTCTTCCTCATGATCTTCTCCTTAAGTTGGTAGGAGTGGAGGCAACAAATCAGGTCTTGTGGAACTCCATCAGGAATGCGTGGTCAAAGTGCTCTGTGTGCCCTATCGAAATGCATTTGGTCCGGGCCCTCTTATCCAAGTATCAGACGGAAGAGGCCATCCACATCCTCCATGCCCTGGGGCTCAGGTACATCGCGCACCCTGATGTTAGAGCTCCTGCTTCTATTGTTGAAGTCCGCAGTTTGTCTCCTAAGGGCTAGGGGAATGGTGCCCTGCCGGGCGAGTGCCGGATCTGTGGCCTTTGTTTGAGCAGCGGAAGCTTCAGCGCGTGAATGCGAGTTTCCTGGGCCATGACATCCGAGCGTAGTACCAACACTGAGGTAGCGATAGAGTCGTACAGCGTCGTTGAGAGCTCTTGCTTTGTGACCATAGTCTCAGAGAGTCTCTGGAGATCCGCGCTTATGTCCGCCAATGTAGGGCCCCCCGTGTCTGAAGCCACGGAGGAGGTCGGGGAGGAGGGCGCCATTTTGAGGCCATGTGAGGCCTGTGCGGGACCCACTGGGGTCTGGATGAAGCCGTCCATCGGACCGGTGCCACCACTTGTTTTTCCGCCCCTGGGAATTTGTGGGTATATCTGAGCACTTGTGCGGCCCATCGGGTGAGGTCTGTGCAGAGTGGCTCGGAGCTCCCCAGTTAGGCAGCCATCACAGTCAAGGCTCAGACCACTCCCCTAAAGCTCAGTAGCATATATTGTGGAAAAATAATGTATTGAGTGGTTCTGGGAACTTCATGTTAAATTAGAAGACTGCAGATTTATTGATTTTATAATGTCTGCAGAACATCAAGATGGCATTCATTTTCTCTACTACATGCTTAAGCATCATAAATTACATACAAAAATGTAATTAGGGCTAATGGAGGCAGATGCAAACAGCTTCTGATGGCAGAGACCGTAGCTCCCGCTAAAAAAATGCATATATCTGAAACACTGACATGCACATGGTACAAAAATGATGTGTCAAACAAAGCATTGTTTGTTGGATATTTACCTGATCACGTCCTACAAGTACTCTCATGCAAAAAATAGTATTAACAAGATATTATAATAAGGTAGCTGTCAGAACTTACCAATCCGCAATTCCCTCAAAGACACTTTCGGGTCATCACATATTGAACTTTATGATATAATCCTCAGCCACATTATAGGGAAGCAGCAGCAACTTTCTATCACTTAATTATTTTGTTACCTTGTGATACAAAGTTGCCATCCTCCTTACTGAAATACAGGCACTCCTCACATACTGACCGGGTTCCGTTCTTACGACCTGAATGTAAAATGAATTGAGGATTCACAGGCATGCACAAGACAGCATGTCTATGTTCGGGGGAATTCCCCCGAACATAAGCCAGTTAACTAGCACAGGGAATCCTAAGGATCTATTTTTCTGCAAACTTCCTCGAACATAGATTAGCTTACTAGCACAGGGAATCCTGCAAATCTTCCCTGAACATAGACAAGCTCTCTAATGTTTGGGAATACATTTGAATTGTAAAACAGGTCAGTCGTAAAGTGAGGACCACCTGTACCATAAAGCAGACCTATGCTTGATCTCTCGACTCTGTAGACTTTTTCAACCCAATTGATTTATCTCTTTCTCTTAGTTTTGATAAGTCGAATTGGGTCAGGTGTGTCTCTGAGGAATGTGCCATGGAAATGCATCTGTAGACTCAGTCGCCTTTATGATGCACGTCTAATCATACCCTCCCTCCTGTACTGCACATATCATCCTATAGCAGGCAGAGGCAACCTTCGTCACTGCAGATGTTTTGGACTACACCTCCCATGATGCTTTGCCAGCATTATGTGTGTAGGAGCATTATGAAGGATGTAGTCCACAACATCTGAAGTGCTGAAGGTTGCCTATCCTTGTCCTATAGTATGGTTTGCCATGTTCCAGTACCTTCCAATACTAATGGGAGTTACAGTCCCAGGGAAAGCTATTTCAGCTGCTGCCATAAATACCTTACCTCAATATAAACAAACAAATGACCATGCACACATGAATCTCCAAGTAGAGACAGGAATTGACATCTGGACTCATTTTCCTTTTGAAAAAAAAAAACAGTTACACAGTCAGTTTGGGAAAAACAGATTTTATCAAAAGGCAAGAAGGGGAGAAAAAGCAAACGCTTCAAGCATACTATCCTGTTGTTCAGTGTGCAGGCAGTTCTCCCAAGTGTGTAACATGCTGCACCCCCATCAGCCCGCCTTCCTGGCTGTAATGAGATCAGTGGGCAGTGCAGTATCAGAGAGGCTCCTGCAGCTGGAGGGGAAACTACCTCAAGCAACGGGAGATTTACAGATCAGAAATAAAGTAAGTACAGCTTTAAAGACAAGCCAGGTACATGCTGATCAGTAATTAACAAGTCTCATACAATATTTATGTTTCTGTCTTGGAAGCTGGAGTGGATTTGGGAAAGGTGGGGTGTGGACATGTAAGGCAGCTTTGTTTACACTTTGAGTAGCATAGATAGTTGCTAAGAAGGATGACTATAGAATTTTGCAACTATTATGGAGGGAGTCTTGAAAGAAATAATATAGCACCTGAAATGCTATCTTTTAACGTTTAATAATATTTTTACTTTTTTAGTCAATTGCTACAATACAGAAAGAACAAGACTTGGATAGGATATGCGTAATAATACACCTATTTCTTTCTATATCTCTGCCCTTCGTCTTGACTTCATGTAACCTGTTGTTTATTTAGAGGGGATTTGTTAAAATGAATAAGACATTAATAATTAAGATAACCTTATTTTATTTATTTGGAAAATATTTTTTTTTTTTACTAGATTTTATTGCATATTATTCATTATAGGCAAACAAAATAATGGGTATATTCTGATCCACTGTTATGTGCTACAAGCTAATGACGCTGATATCAAACTCAAAATATTGCATACTCCCCTTTTAAGTACCGGTTGGTTTGACTATATGAATGCCAAGTGGCAATCAGTAACGCCTAGCTCTCAAAATGCAAACAGGATTATTTTAGCAGCTGTCAGATAAAGTTATAATTAGGACAGAGGAAGAGAACTAAAATGAAACCCTGTTGAAAAAAAACACTAAGAGTACAAGTTTTTTTCTATCTACCAGGAAGATGAAGTGGCTGATATGCATAAATATACTACATCAGTTATTTGAATTGTCCTTTTTGAAGATGAACAATTAAAAAAACAAAACAAAAACTCATCTGGAATACATCTTACTTGGTGTTTTATTGCTGTGGCACTCAATAATATAACACTCATTGTACAAACTCACACACTGCGAAAGTTGGGATGTATTTGTGTAGAGTGTTAGTGTTTGTTAATGTACAGGTGTGAGAGTGAATTTTAAGACAAGACAGGAGGCTTCGTGTTTGCTTTACTGTCTTTACTGAAAACCTCCAGCAGGAAAGAAACAGTTAACATAACTTTTCAGTACAACCAATCAGAACACAACAGCAGTATAAAACCTGTTACGCAGACCCTCCTACTTCCTCTTTCTTTGCTGCTGCCTCCATTTGAGAATTTTCCAACTCAGATAGTGTGTCTGCTCTGGGTTATTTTATTTGTATTTAAAAGATCACTATAGGGTCAGGAACACAAACATGTATTTCCGACCCTATAGTGTTAAAACTACCATCTAGCCCCCCTGGCCCCTGATGCCTCCATAAATATAGCAGAATCTTACTTTATTCAAGCCTGAAGCTGTAGATTTGCATGCTGTTTGCCTCAGAAAAACAAGCTGTCTGCCGACATCATCAGAAGTGGTGGCCGGATCCAATCACAATCACAGTTTGCACTTCAGGTGGTCCGGTCCTCCCCACCCCACTACCCCTACTGCTGCCAGCCTCCCCTCACTCCCTGTTCTCACCTTCCAGGTCAAGTGTACTTTAGGAATAAAAGAGGTATATATAATTTCACATGTGTCTACATACTTTATAATCCAATTCATACTATATAAATTTCACGCCAAGAACTGAACTGTTGGACGTTTTTTTCCCTAGGTAAATGATAAGAGTAGGTAGTCTGTTATAACAGCCTCCTCATCATGTCTTGTATGTTAAATGCATCAATGATACATACCACTTTTATGTCTTTATTATATCTTCTTTAAATGTAAGCATGTCTTGGTCTTTCAGGCTATGACACTCCTCAGTGGAGCTAGGCCTCTGGCATAGTCATATATGGGGTTACCCCCCTTTTATACTTAAATGGTATTGGTACGCTGTATCCACTATACTGGCCTAGTCATATCTGGGATGACTCCCCCCCCTTTATACTTCCAGACTACTGGTATACTATACTGCTGGGCCTCACTAATGTGCCTGTGGCACTTTCTGGGTTGGGTGACCCCTCGCTCTCTCTGACTGTATGGTTGGGTCCTATACTAATGACCCTGAGGGTGACCCCCTCCTTTATATGGCCTGTTATGCATGATATGATTGTGCTTGCAGGGTGACCCCCTATTGCACACTGGGTGACCGCCAGCCAGCCTTGCCCAGGTGCCACATTAATGGTACCTTACGTTGGTTTCGGTGTCATCAGTCATGGCTGCTGAAGCTGGCTTTCATGCACCAGAGGACCTACAAGCATTGCTACGTGCCACACTGGCGGACGCGTTACCTGAAGCCCTTGCTGCCATGCACTGGGATGCCCCTCCTGCCCATGCGGAACCCACACCCGGCACCTCTGGGGCTCTGGTACCTGACTCCGGTGTCTCCCTTTGCTCTGCAGACATGGGCTTCACGTGCAAGACCTTGCAGGGGTCATGACACTGTCACTGGCAAGGCCCACTAAAGTGGAAGTGAGCTGGTATATCGAATGTATTTCAATTGAAAAGCCCAAGTGGGTCCTTGAACGTCACTCGCACTAAGTGAAAGAGACTTTCCTGGGCTCCACTCTGACTGGTGCGCTGAGAGCTCCTGTGGCTACCGCTGACACCCCAGGAGACATCTTGGACCCCTCGGGTCACCTTTTCGATCCACGTCTCCTCATACATTCTTGCTCTGCAGAATGGGCTCCCCCATTTCTCCGTTATTGGCTTCACTGCACTTTAGACAAGAAGGTCCGGGCAAAATTTGGGGCTGAATGCCACTTCTGACACTGCTGGATAAGGGGCCCTTACCCCTGATTTTGACCCAGTGTTTGCCACCTTCATGACAAGATCTGGTAAGGATTCTCACAAAGGCCTGGAACAGGGCATACGCTCCGCCTGAGAAAATCTGCTCTTCGATGACTCCTTTATGAAGGAATTGAACCGTCATGTTTCCATTTCTACATCTAGCTTTTTCCTCAGTGGAAGGCCATCACTGGAGATCTGTGGGTTCTGCAGACAGTGTCTAGATTCTGGATCGATTTTGTCGAACCTGTGATACGGACCTCAGATCCACAGCCACTATGTATGGACAAGGAGATTTATGGTTTTGCCCCTCTCGGTTTCTTGGACAATGTTTTCCTAGTAAGGAAGAAACCAGGAGACTTCTGCCCTGTGATCAGGCTGCATGCCCTCAACACATATGTCGTCTACTGACATGTCAAGATGGAGAACATCCATCTCCTCAGGGACCTGCTTTGCGGGGAGACTGATTCTCCCGACTGGAAGGTGTC